ACTGAGGACTGAGGGGCACCTGGAGTGCTCCATTTCATTAGGGCAGGTGTCCCCGGCCATCCCGTTAAGGAAACTCTCTGCTTCTTTCCTCTGCCTTAGTCTCATCTTTGCAGTGTCAGTGCCTGAAACATCTGTCCCTCAGTCCTCTCCTTGCTCCTGGAATGGAAATGTCCTGCTCTCTGAGAGTGGAGTGCTGTCAATCACTGCTGCATTCCCACAGCCTAGCAATGCTAAGTGTGCTTCTAGAGATTTAATAAAAACTTGCTAAGGATTAATGAATAAATATATAACATCAACTGGAAAGCCACTTGAAATATTAAGAGTGACCGTACCTGTAATCCCAGCTACTTGGGATGCTGCGGCAGGAAGATCACAAGTTCAAAGTCAGCTTTAGCAAAAGTGAGGTGCTAAGCAACTGTGTCTAAATGAAAGAAGCCTGCAAAAGAGATGAAAACTCACTGGGGATGTGGCTCAGTGGTCAAAGGCTCTGAGTTCAATCCCTGGTACCCCCATCCCCTGCAAAATCAGAAAATATGGAGAAAGAAAAACTATGAAGARGAAAAGAAGTTTCAGTTGATGATAACAAACTATAAAGTATCTAAGAATAAACAAAAAGAATTTGTGAAATATATATTAAGAAAAATAGCAAAGCCCAAAACAGACGAATGAATTACATCAAGCCAAGAAGTTTATGCACAGCAGAGGAAACAATGAGCAGAGCAAAGCTACAAACTATGGATTGGGAGAAATATTTGCAAGCAGGACATCTCAGAACTGGGTAACACCCAGAATATACCTGAGGAACTCAAGAGTAAGAAAATAAAGTGACTTAAAGATGAGCAAAGTACTAGAATAGACATTTCTCCAACGATGACGTGTAAATGACCAACATGAAAAAAATGTTCAACATCACTAATCATTCGAACTAAACTACAATAAGATATCACCTCACATCTATCAGACTGGCTATTACCAAAAAGATGAAAGTAAGTGTTGGTGAGGATGTGGAAAAAAAGGGGGGGGGCCTCTGTACATGTTGGTGGGAATGTCTAGCCATTGCAGAAGACTGTATAGAGGTTCCTCAAAAAGCTGAAAGTAGGGGTTGGGGTGTAGCTCAGTGGTAGAGCGCTTGCCTAGCTCCTGTGAGGTACTGGGTTTGATACTCAGCACCACATAAATAAAATAAAATAAAGGTATTGTGGCCATCTACAACTAAAAAAAAAAAAAAAGCTAAAAGAATTAACATTGTGTTAGCTTTTGGTCACTTGACAAAATACCTGAGAACAACAACAAGAGGAAAGATTTGCTTTGGCTCATGGTTTCAGAGGCTCTGGTCCGTGGGTGGCTGGCTCCATTGCTTAAGCTTGAGGTGAGACAGAACGTCATGGCAGAAAGGCTTGGTGCAGGAATTCTGGCCACTTCATGGCAGCTGGGAGGAAGAAGGGGTGGGAGACAAAGATATAGTCCCTAAGGACCCACTCCCTCCAACCAGGCCCCACCTCCTACAGTTTCCACTACTTCCCATTAGTCCACTTAGTTAGAAATCCCTCAATGGGTTAACCCATTGATGAGGTCAGAGCTCTCATAAGCCCCCTCTGAACATTGCCCACTGGGGACTGAACCTTCAACACATTAAGCCTTTGGGAGACATTCCAGATTCAAACCATAACAATACCACCTCGAGCTATATAGATAAAGGATTTGAAATGATGATGTTGGAAGAGACATGCACTTCCATGTCCATCACAGCACTGTTCACAAAAGCCAAGATATGGAATCAACCTACATGTCCATCAATGGATGAGTAGATAAGTAAAATATGATATACACATGGAATACTATTCAGCCTTAAAAAGGAAATTCTGTCATTGGTGACAATATGGATGAACCTGGAGGATGTTGTGCTAAATGAAATAGGCAAGGCACAAAAAGCCAAGGCACAACCTAGAACAACTGAACTCAGAAGCCGAGAGTGGAATGGTTATTATCAAGGATTGGGAGTAGTGACTATAGTTAATAATGTATTTCAAAATTTCTGTGAGTAAACTTCAAATGCTCTTACCATGAAAGTGTATATTTGAGATGATAGGTATGTTAATTAGCTTGATTAAGCATTCTACATTGTATATTTATATCTCATAAGTATATATATTAAAATTTGTCAATTTACAATTTTAGTACCCCAAAGTACTGAACTTTACAGACCTTATAAAAATCTTGAATAAATGGAAACATTACCTACCTGGTAAGACTTGGTATTGTAGCAATGTAGATTCTCCCCAAAATAACTTAGAGACTTAACTGCAATTCCAGCTAATTCTAACCACAACTGTCTTACAAATTTGACAAAATAATCCTGGAAAAATAATGGACAGAAACAGAATATTAAAAAGAAAACCAAGAGGATAATTTAGTTCTATTTATTAAAATATACTAAAAATGTAAAGCTACAGTAAGTAAACTGGTTCTGCAAAAAAAAAATAGGCTGATTATTATAAACACAGATGGGCATTCAGTACATAGTAGCTATTCCTCCTTGGTAGGGGAAAGATGGACTRTCTAATAAATGCAGCTGAAATTGGCTAAATTTAGGGGAAATATTTGGGTGGATTAAAGAGGTAAATGTAAAGACTGGAACCATAAAATTGAGAGCATATACAAGTGTATGTTATATTCTTAGTGTTGATAAAGGCTTAAGTATAAAAACTAAGGTAAAATACAGAGAAAATACTGATAGAAATCAAAACCAGTTTTTGGCAAAAGAAGCCAAGAACAAAATGAAAAATCAAAGAGAAAATATTAAGGGAATATCCTTAAAATAAGAAAAAAATAGGAAAAAGCCACTCTTCAAAAAACATAAGTGATCCATAAACATATAAAAAGAACTTTACTGATATTAAGAAAATGCAAATTAAAACAATAAAGTGCTATCAAAAGTAAATGGTGCTTATGGCAGTGATTTAAGGGAAAAAGTGTTTCATGCACTGAAAGTGGGGTGGATGATAAAATGGCTCAATCTTTCTAAAAGGCAGTCTGGAAACACGCACCAAGGGTCAAAACTCGAGCATTCTGTTTCACCCAGCAACTCTGCTTCTGGGGATTTACCCCAGGAATGTTCAGAGGTGTGGGCAAAGCTGTATGGATGAGGGTGTTCACTGCAGCATTGCTCAGAAAACGGAAAAGCCCTAGGCTGAGTAGAGTACGGCACAGCTCCCGTAGTTTCCATGCACATCACAATGATTTACAGCCATTAAAACTCTTTCAGAATACAGTGCTGACAGAAAAACAGGACACACGACCCCATATTTGTTATCTATCTTCTCTGATAATTACTAGTAGGATGTACACTAGAATGTCATTAGCTTATTAATTCCCAGGTTTTCAATTCTGTGAATATTTCAATGAAATTGACACAGGTGCATTAAAATCGGTTAGAAATCATAATCTAGAGATTATGTGTATATACATATTAAAATTATAATCACGTCCACATATATTCCTACTATATACATGTATTATATTCCTACTGCTAGACTTTTTTTTTKGGGGGGGGGATACCAGGGATTGAACTCAGGGGCACTTGACCGCTGAGCCACATCCCCAGCCCTATTTTGTATCTTATTTAGAGACAGGGCCTGAGTTGTTTAGCACCTCGCTTTGAACTTGAGGTCCTCCTGCCTCAACTTCCTGAGCTGCTGGGATTACAGGCATGCGCCATGGTGCCCAGCCTACTGTTATGTTCTTTTATAACTATATAATTACATATTGAATACTAAGGTTTTTATAGGTGTTCCACATCTAGGACCATGGGACAAAATGGGTTCATGTTTTGGTTATGCTAGAGGTACATATTTTTGTTGTTTCTTACAGCTCTTGGAACAGGGTCTGCTATATAATTGGTTCCCAGTATACATTTTTTAACAAATCTAGTATTTTCTACAATGAGCAAGCTTGACATCAATAGTTAAGAATTTTACTCAATTAACTATCTTTTATAAAAGACTTAAATTTCCTGCAAATCTATCAGTCCATTCCATCCTACCTGCTCCCTCGGGTTATAACACTGGTCCTTTGGGTCCATGGGTAATACCCATGACAGTCATTAGCGTGTACTTCCTGTGTGTGTGGTGCTTAGCTTGCAAGCTAATGCATCAGATTTTCACAATACCTGTGAGGCAGGTAACAGTACGGTGACCCTTTTGCAAATGAAGAAACTGGCACAGAGAGTGTTTACTGGCCAAGGTTGTGCCGCGAGTACGTGGCACAGAGGGGCCTTGAGCCTAACTCACATGGCCCTAGTCTGTGCTGTACAGTGCTGCCTCAGAGCAGAGGCTGTGTAAGAACCTTGACAGGTTAGGGCTTGTTTTCTTGACTTCCTACCTCATTCCTCCATGCACAACTCTTACCCAAGCCCGAGGCCTGCCGCAGGTTATGTGAGTGTTCTCCAGCCAGGGGTCCTTGTGGGAAGCACACACAGGTCTCCATTAGTCTCTAAAATCTGGCACTGGGATCATGGATCTTCCTGATGTCCTTGCACTTGGAGCATACCACAGTGGCTCCTGGATTGGGAGGCTGGTTGGTGGGGTGGACTGGTCACACTCCCTTCCCACAGCACCTATTCCAACACCACTGCCCATCCCCATCCTCCAGAGAGGAGTAGCCAGAACTCAAGACAAGAGTCTCCTTACCTTTGTTATTCAACAGAGATTTAAATCTCTGAAGACAAGAGCCAGGAGGGTTCCCCACCRAAACATGGAAAACATCAACTATTGAGGAGAAAACAACAGGTACCAGGAGGTTCAAAGGCAGTGCTGACAAGCAGCCAGGGTCTGCAGAGAACTTGCTTTGTCCCAGGTGGTCACTGAAGCATTCTGCAGTTTCCTCGCCCCCTCTGACAGGGTGGGGACACAGAGGCCATCACAGGAAAGGGCAGAATTAGAGTAAGAGACTCCAGACTGCAGGATTGTATTAATGCTCATTTTAATTAAACTTTATTCCAGAGAAAAATGAAAAACCCAAGAATGACCAGAAGGAGAAGCTCAACACGTGGGTCAATAACATGTACGTCTTCTTTGTGAACACGCTCTTCCAGGCATACAAGCACGAGGAGCTGCTCAAGGAAAAAGTAAAGGAAAACCGGTTGCAGGATGCAGCCATGGCTCAACAGAAGAAGATGGAGAGTGAAGAGCTGGAAGCAAGGTATGGCAGRGCCCCGGCCCTCCTCTGGCACGAACTCAGCATTCTTCCCCATCTTTCGTAGCTACCTGGAGCATCAGGAGCACATGCTTGCACTGCCAAATTCACGACGTCCCGAGGTTGTCCAGAGCATAAAAAAAATATCTGGCCTCTGCTCCTGCCAGTTCCAAAGGCTTTGTGGCTTCCAGAGGGCTGGGAGCATCTTTTGTTTATATAGAGGAGCTAGCATCTGCTCCTGACCCCAGGACCTACCAGATCCCAGCATCTCTGAAGGCACGTTTTTATATATTAATGAGATGACTGTGGCTAGGGCCCTGGATAACTTCACTTGGGGGACGTTGCCCAAGGAACCACCTGTGACTGGAGAACTTCCAGCTTCACCCTTGTCTCTGGGCAGGTGGGGAGGCTGGGGACTGAGTTCTGCTAGTCATGCCTACATAACGGAACCTCTACAGAAACACCAAATCATGGGTGGGATTTAGTTTCTGGGGCTGGACATATCCATGTGATGGGAAGGTAAGTTTGCAGGGACAGAAGTTCTTGGGACTCTTCTGGACTTGACCGTACATCCCTCTTCATCTGGCTGTTCGGCTGTTCATTTTTATTCCTTTTTTTTTTTCTTTTGCAGTCCTGGGGATTGAACCCAGGTGTACTCTCCCATGGAGCTACACCCCTAGCCCTTTTCTATTTTTTGAGACAAGGTCTCAGTTAGTTACCCAGGTGGGCCTAGAATTTGTGATCCTCTCGCCTCAGCCTTTGGTGTAAAGTTGGAATTACGGTTGAGCACCACTGCTCTCTGCTGTTCATTTTTATTCTTTGTAATATCTCTTAAAGTAAACCAGTAAATGTAAGCAAAGTTTTTTGCTAGAGGTCTTCGAGCTATTCTAGCATATTATAGAACCTGAAGGGGGCGTTGTGGGCACTTTTGATTCATAGCTGGTTAGTCAGAAGTATCCGAGTCCTGAACTTGTGACTGGCATCTGGATGGGGGTGGCCTCGTGGGACTGAACTCCCGTCACTTGTGAGGTTTGTGCTAATGTGAGTGGATGGTGTAAGAATTTTATATCAGTGGTGTTGGACAGTTGGTGAGGTGAAGAGAAAATATGGTGTCAGAAGTGTCAAGGGGTGTCCCCACCTGGTTTGGGGGGGCTTGGGGCTCACTGTGGGCTGCTTGTTTTTCTGGGTGTCTAAGTGGAACGGACACCTGTGTGAGAGGCAACAGGAAGCCATGGTTCAGACCCTAGCCGCCGCCCACCCCCACCCCCTGCCGGCTCTGTGCACAACTCCAAGCCTCTTGTCCTCATCTATCAGGTGGGGTCATGGTAATGCCTCACAGGACTGCTGGGGCCAGGAAGACAGCTGAAGGCCAGGAGTCCAGGAAGCAGGACAGGATACTGCAACTCACCGCAGCATCACTGCTGAGGCTCAGCTCTGCATGGTCCTTTAGCAGTGCAGACACCTGCCCTTGGTGACGTGTGTCTCCGCTCACTGGAGAAAGCATTGCTGTATGCTGGAGGGCAGGAACATATGAGGACTGTCACAAGGTCACCCAGAGAAAAGAGGTTGACATCTCATGTCAGATCCATAGCATTCTACCTGGGCTGTCTAGCTATGGCTTTACTAATAACTCTGGCAAGTTGATGGCAGTTCAGTTTTGGTTACAGGCACTGATGAAAAACAGATATGGACAACTTTACTTGATACACAGAATAAGAACTATTGGGTACGGTGGCACATGCTTGTAATCCCAGTGGTTCAGGAAGCTGAGGCAGGAGGATAGCAAGTTCAAAACCAGCCTCAGCAACTTAGTGAGGCCCCAAGCAACTCAGCAAGACCCTGTCTCAAAGTAAAATATAAAAAAGTGTTGGGGATGTGGCTCAGTGGATAAGCCCCCTGGATTCAATCCCCAATACCAAAATAAATAAATTTCAAAGGAAAAAAAATCTACCTTCCTATGTTTGCTTTTTTAGGCTTAATATCTTAAGGGAGGAAGAGGCCAAGAAACAAGATACTGAGATGGACATCCCTGTGATCAAGGAGCCAGGGGACGCCCTGTCCTCAGTCCTCACACAAAGCCCTCCCAAAGAGGACACAGCTATGTCTCAGGCCAGCAAGTCCACCCCGAGCAAGAAGAAGAGGAAGTAAAGGCACGTACTGTTGAGGGTGGACTGCAAGGACACAGAGCAGCTCAGGACAGCAGGAACTGTGATAAATGTCCTGCACAATAAAGTTGTTTGCAGTGTACTTCTGCTCTTGGTATTCTGAAACACTCCTACCTTGACCCACTGCACCCAGCTTTTTGCAGCTGGATCACTGAAAGGCCTGCATTTTGGAAATTGAGTTGAATGAATATCCAAAACACACACACACACACCCATATTAATGAACATGTTTTAAATACATGTCTAAAAAATCAAAGTAACGCCATGATGATGAAATTAGAATCTGATAAAATGAATCAGAAGACAGTGGGGAATGGAAGAAATTATTCAAAACATTTCCCCAGACACTTGTTTCCCACACTAGGTACATTGTCTATCCCCAAAACCACCTGGGGTTCTTCAGGTGCCACTTCCTGTGGCTTCTCCCCTGTCCCATTTCTGCAAATGCCCACAGTTCTCTATGGCATTTGAAAACCACCACACAGCAGTGGGTCCAGGCAGCAGTGAGAGGAGGAGCCAGGAGGAGCCAGGTGTTCAATAGATGGTTGTTAAAAATTTTACAGTTAATAATTTGTGTTAAAATTTAAGGGTCACCACCAATCTAAAGCTACCCAAATTAGCAGAAGGAATACAGGAAACCATCAATTTTAACAGAAAGATGGGGAAGAGGAAAGATGGGAAACAGGAAAGTGCTGATGCCCCAACAGCCAAAGGAAACAGACTAAACCCACTCGTGCTGCTCCCCCAAATGAGCCCAGAGGTAATTTAATGGCACTGAAAAATAAAAATTCACCTCAACATCACAAGGGAACTATCTTAGAGCCACACAGAAAGAATGAAAATAAAGACACACGCAAAGACACACCAGGTCGATCTGTTCAAGCTGACTGCACTAGCAAGCACTATCACAACCCAAAGGCAGCATCACACCTACACATTAGCCTTGCAAAGCTGAGGGAGCCCCAGGGAGAAGCGCCGTCTTGACAGCAGAAAGCAGGAAAACAGGGATCAGATGACCAGAGCAACTAAACTATAAACCCTGAATTAGCACAGAGCTAGGAACCAGAATGCAATAGAGAATAAACACTTGACACACTGACCACTTTTTAGGTTGTGAAGCACAGCAATTCCACATGATGTGTATAGCACATCTGTTCTAGCTGCAAATGACTGCACAGTATGCACACAGCACACCATAAACACAAAAGCCACAATCTGAAGTAACACAAGTGCTATGAGGAAATCGCAATGGACATTGTGAATTATTTAGGACCAAGTGACAATGAAAGTACTGTGAATCAACAAAGCCATTTCCTCCTAACAGGCTCATACACGTTAAGTGATAGGGAATATGGGAAGCAAACTTTAGGACTAGTGAAATATCATGTTTTTTGGACCATTTAGCTAGTTTTTACCTAACCCTGGGCTGACCAGATAATAAAAATCAGCATAACTAAGACTGCTGAATTTCATCTCAACCAAGGAGGATGGAGTTGTGGCTCCCTGGGATGGCTCCTCAGGAGTTCCAAATGACAATGAGGAGTGCTTTCTGTTTAGAACACATTGTGCACTTTCATTAAGCTCTGTGTATTAAATGAGTCTAAAAATCACAATAGTACTCAGGATAAAAGCCAAGTCTAGCCAGGTGTGTGGTGCATGCGGTAATCCCAGTGGCTCAAGAAGCTGAGGCAAGAGGATTATAAATTCAAGGGCAGCGTCAGCAACTTGGTGATGGCCTAAGTAACTTAGTGAGACCCTGTCTCAAACAATAAAAAGGACTGGGGGTGTGGCTCAGTGGTAGAGCACCCCTGGGTTCAATCTTCAGTACCAAAAAAAAAAAAAAAAAAAAAAAAAAAAAGGCAAGTATAGCAATTATTTTAGGCAAATACATCCTTATTCGGGTTTCACAGCTAGGGAAAGGAATCTAGCTGTGAAAGCATCAAATGAGCTTTTAAATCCCCAGGGCACGTCCCAGGAACCACTGGTAATGCTTTCTACAAACTAGCAACAGAAGAGTGCCTCAGCGCAAAACCAGAATTTTAAAAACTTTAACAATTTATTAGTCTTATTTTCCAGTAAAATATTCACATGTCAAAAGAATGGAATGATAGAGATATAGCCAACTACCTTTAAGTAATTCCGCATAAATATTTAAAATCTAAAAACCTCAGGGGATCATCAGACTGAGTAGAAATTTGTTTCTTCAAAGCAAGTATTGCTTTACTATTGTCATTAATTCAGTCAATAATATGACCAATAACTTGCAATGGTAAACAAAGTGTTTGCTGAGTTTCTTAAAAGATGCTTTCCGTGAGCCATTATCAGTCAATCCAAGAAGAAGATGTTGTTGAACTGCGTGGCACAAAGTTTCTTTACCTCTTCTGCAAAAAGAACAGAAAACAGTGCATAAGGAATAGGGGTTCTTACTTAAAATGTTGTATGCTATGTGTTAGTGCCTTAAATTCTTGTGGAATAAAACTGGGAATAAATAAATGTCTGCATTCATTTTGACTTTAAATTCCAGAAGCCCAAACAAAAAGTAATAAACTAAGAAAAAGGGAACAGACTCCACACCTAACAAACCCATGAGACTTCAATACTTCCCAATATACTGAAACACTGCTTCTCTGGGCCTGAAAAAGCTTAAACCCAGGGCAAACAGTACCTGAGACACCCACAGGTTGGGGTTACAACATCCAAGATACAGTCAATTTCAGAATCTGATGCAACAACACAAATACTCTGGTTGCAACCTTGAATTGTAGATCAAGGGCTCCACAGAGGTATCATGATCTTTACTGAATTCCCATTTTAAGTCAGGCTTGTACTAACTGATGTTTTTAATACACAATGAATACAGGTATTAGTATAGAAGAAAAATTTCATAGGCCTTAAAAGATATATTTTTAAAAACCTTGCATCTAACTTTCCTGGTAGTTTGTACTGGGGTGTTTCCCCCCACCTACACTGCTGCTTGCCCCAGCTCCAGGTGTAAGGCAGAATAGCAGAGAGGCTAGTGAAGGGGACACTGCCCTTTCTCCAGGACAGCAGCTGTCAGAACCCCACAGACCAGCTGCTGACTCATTCAGCACAAAGGACCAGACCAACTACTCTGGTTGCAAGGTGGAGAATTCTCATCCTGCCTATGGGTGGAGACAGCTGAGACTATCATATGAATCCAGCAGCTCTGCATATAAAAGATGTGTTTTCATCTTTTTGATAAAAAGAGACATTTTTACACACAATATGTAAAGCATGGGTTATTTTAGCACTGTAGAAAATAATTTCCTTTTAGTCACGATTAAGCTTGCTGTGTCACAGGACACAGAAACAGAAAATGGAGAAATCTGCCTGTAATCTTAATGATCATCATTTGCTCTATATACCATGTTTCCTAATACACTGAAGAGAATTTCCAAATATCAGTAGCATTAAAATTATGGTCAAATACCAAATTCAGTTTACCATTGACTTCGATCAGGTTTGCATTTTTTTGATTCAAAATAACATACAGCTCCCGCTGATCAGACTTTTTCCCAACAACCCAATAATCACTCATGGCTTTCACGATGATTTCTTCATCTTCATCTGCTCTGTAAGGCAAGAGTTTCAGAATGTACTATTTTATTATACACTTAGCTACATTGTGGGGAAAAAAATAAACATTTCAAAACAAGAAACTGGACACTAAATAGTCACTTAGGAAGTTCAGGAAGGCCCATGTGAATGGACTGGGCTTATGGACTCATTCAGAAGGGGTACCCATAAAGGTGGTCAGACCTGGCCTCTATGAAGGGGCTTTGGGCTACTCAGTTTTGAAGATGACTCCTTTAATATCCTTTAACAAAGGGATACCTATTTGAGAAGTTGTCAGGATTACCTAGTAAAATCACTGTTGATGTCACCTAGAATCTTCATCAAATCCGGATGAACAGACGTAAGTGACACACTGGGTGTTTTCCTCATGTGAATTGTACTTTTCTCTGCTAAATTCATATGGTTGAAGTAGATAAACTTAAACTGTGGTTCCTTTTCAGATCTGTAAAAACATGTCATTAAGAGGGTAACATTCTGAACATTATACAAACTACACAGCTACATTTAAAAAACCATATGGCAAAAGCCTGGATTTTCAAAGGCTCGGTCTTTAATTCAAGAATCTTAGTTAACATGTAACAGACTCTTCACTCAGTAATCACTTATATGATATCAAGCATGATGGAATTTACCAGAGAGCTGAAGCTTATTAACTGACTGATTTGAAGTACAGGGGACTGAACTCAGGTCCTCACAAAGGTTTCTACCTCCGAGTTGCATCCCTAGCCATTTTCTAAAATAAAAGTTTTATTTCTATTTTTTATCTTGCTAAGTTGCTAAGGCTGGCCTTAAACTTGTGATCCTCCCACCTCATTCTCTTATATAGCTGGGATTGCAGGCATGTGCCATCATGTTTGGCCTAAAGTTTACCTTTTTTTTGTGTGTGTGTGTGGGGGGGGGGCGCAGGGGAGGGTACTGGGGACTGAACACAGGGGTGCTTTACCATGGAGCTGCATTTCCAGCCCTTTTTATTTCGAGACAGTGTCTCACTAAGTTGCTGAGGGTCTTACTAAATTGCTGAGGCTGGACTTGAACTTTTGATCTTCCTACCTCAGTCTCCCAAGTCACTGAAATTATAGGTGTGCACCACTATGCCCATTTAAAGTTTCTTTTTTAAACACTGGAAGTATTTTCTAAATGAAATCATAGTGCTTTATAAATGATAATCACTTGGTTATTGCTGACTTTTTAACAAATACAAATGAAATCCACACAGGCTATTTATCTTCTAGTGGAAGGGTCAGCAAACTACAGGCCTGAAACTAAATCTGGCCATTTTTCTAAATAACAGTTTACTGGAACACTGAATGCCCATACAAATATCTATGTGTTATCTATGCTACTTTCAAGCTAAAATAATAGTTGAGTAGTTGCAACATATATAGCCCACAACATCTAAAATACTTACTATTTAGCCCTTTACAGAAATAGTTTGCCAACCTCTGACTCAGGAGAGTAACATCTCATTTATCCCACAGTGATGGGGAATGAAGGAGGCGCTCCATGTGGATTACCCAGTCACACAACTGAAGCTTAATACTGTAACAAAGCTCTTTATCCTCCTCAATGGAAATCATGCTTAAAATGTATTAGCTTTTCCTGCTGAAGTAAAATTTTAATTGGGATATATATTTTTCCTTCTTTGCACAATCACTTCTCATTTGTCCCTGTGTCTTTCTCAGGGAACCATAGGGACAACTGGGCTACACAGCTCACAAGGTGCCTCCCCACCCCTCCCATCTCACTGTGCCCTTTTGAACACCCTGGGTTCTGGGGAGAGCCTGAGCACAGCCTGCCACTGGGGGCTCAGAAGCCTTCTCCGCTTACTTCAGGGTTAGCAGCCATGTTCTGGAGGGCTGAGGGTGCCGGAAATCCGACCTCCGGACAAGTGGGTTACTACTGTAATACTTTACATCTAGGCAAAGAAAGAATGTGGGTGATTTAGTTTCCAGGAAAATGAAAATAAATCTCTTACAAAACCAGAATTTGTTTTTAATAGATCCCTAAAACTAAGAAAAATAAATAACATGAAAAACTAGATGAAAAAATAAAAAATTTAAGACTTTTGGACAGAATTTCAATTTAGCTGTCTCAATACACAAGTAACTTAAGTTGAACTTAAAGTTCTGGCTGTTTTGTCTAACCCCCAAACACTCTTTCTTTAGTCCATTCAGAATGGACTGAAACTCTGTCTTTTGTACCCCCAAGTTGGAATTTATATTAAAAACGTTATTTAACTAGGTAAAACAGGGTTAAATAAATGCAACTCTTTCTACCCCATCCTCCATAAAACATAATAAAAAACAGACACAGAAAAATGGCTACTTGCAATGTACTATTAAATAAAAGGAAAAGAGAAACTTGCTCACATTCAAAATAGAATAATTTTCAATGTACAATCTTATTAGTGATCAAATTTACGACCTTACAGTGTGTCAGTTTTGAATTAGCAGCAGCCACAGTTACCTGGTATCTTTTTCAAAGAGCTAAGACATTCCTTCTAAAAATCAAAGCATTTTTTTCAAACACAAAATCACACGTTTCATGCCTTCTTAAAAAGAGAACATACTAAACATAGTTAACAATGTCCATATAGGAAACTCTAAACGCAACGAAACAGTACAGAATTCTTCATGAAGACTTTTTTTAAAAATATTTTTTTTAGTTGTAGGTGGACACAATATCTTTATTTTATTTACTTATTTTTTATGTGGTGCTGAGGATTGAACCCAGTACCTCAAGCATGTGAGGCAAGCGCTCTACCACTGAGCTACAGCCCAGCCCTCATGAAGACTTTTGAGGTTCAGTATACAAAGTAACCACAGCACAATGATGTCTTCAAAACACATGGGAGGGGGAGTCCATTTTAAGTGGTTATAGCTCAGTTTGTGTATGCACTAACTTTAAAGAAAGATTTCCTATTTTCTGATAGACCCATCATTTTTAGCAATGAGAAAAAAACACCTCCTGGTCAACCTTATCTTCACTCATTTTCTTCTGTTCTACGCTGAAAACACAATATAATCAATCAGTCCTTTGTCTGTATATCCTATACCCACAGATTCAACTATGAATCAAAAATACTGGAGGAAAACTGTACCTGTACTAAACATGTATGAACATTTTGTTGTCATTATTCCCCACACAATGCAGGATGACTATTTACACAGCACCTGGACTGTACTGTACTGTGTTCTAAGTAACCCAGAGATGATTTACAGCACATGGGAAGATAGGCATGGGTTACTTGCAATGCCGTGCCTTTTAAGGGTCTTGAACATCCAGGGATTTTGGTATCCACGTCCTTAGGTACTGAATAGGACCGTAACTATGACTGGTAGGTGTCATGAGAAGATGTGAGGAGACCTCCCATGAACAAATAGCAATAATTTTACTGAGATGCCAGAGTTGAATGTTTAAGCACCAGGTGTATGAAAACATTCTCAAACTTCAAAAGCATGCCCAGAAAGGGTGCCGTGACACAGTGGAGGAAATCAGCACTTCTCCAGTGAGCACCTAGCTGCTTAAAGTTTCCCCTATGGGCTTCAACAGCTGAAGGCACAAAGATAACCACTGTTTCAAGTTGTGGTGGGCTGTGTTCTAAACAGCTAAGACTGCCAGATACACGATTTCTAGATAAATATGGCTCTGAGAGTTCCTCACTTATCTGACCTAACTGAAGGCCAAGAGAAAATGCTGAATTGAGAAATTTGGGTACCATGAAAAGGAAAACTGGACTTTATTTATGAGTTAACTTAATAAAGTTCTTTTCCCCTGGCCTCTCCAAAGTAATAAGGAAGTGAAGGTACGCCAAGAATCCAAGAAATATGCACACACCTCCTCCTGGACGACGTCCCCTCCCCCTTCCCTATTACCACATCTTGGCTCTAGCTAGGCCAGCCTTCCCTTCTCTTCCCTTCTGTCAGTGTTCAATCCTGTATTTGTTCCCTCTGTCAGTGTCCAATCCTGTATCTGATCATTATCGACTCCTACTGCTAATGGCCGTACTTTTCACTTCTTTACAAATCTGAGCCTACTCAATCTCAAAAAAGAACTATACTAAAACTGACCACTGGGGCTGGGGATACGGATGAGTGGTAGAGTGCTTGCCCAGCATGCACTAGGCCCTGCAGCCCATCTCCAGCAACCTCCCCTTCAAAAACAGATCACAGGAAAGAGTTCCTTTTCTGAAAACTTTGTACTTCCTCCTCCCCATCCTCTTCAGATTTAGTACTAAAATTAACTAAATGAACAGGGATATGTGAAAGGAACAGAAACTAGAGTCTCAGAAAACTATCGATTTGGGGGAAAATTTTAAAGTTAGAACTCTGCCTCAATTTCTTAAAAACTCTTGGTGAACTGAAGATTTAAATACATAAAATAAAACCATAATGGTACCAGAGGTAAAAATGGGATTGTATTTTTATTATACTGGGGTGGAAAGCTCAGAGTATAACATTAAAGATGGAATACCAAAGAACTGAATTGAAAAAACTTATTACATACAAACCCCATGCATATAAATTGTGCAAAATAGCAAAATCAAAATTAAAGAAAAAAATACATATCATGACCAAAGGGTATTATATTAAGGGTACTGATGTAAAAGAAAAAAAAAAGAAACCCTTCAATAGAAAGATTCAAAGAATCCAGAGTGCAATTTGCAGAGGACACAGAAATGCCAATGAACCACAAAGAGACGCCTGACATCAGTGTCACCTACCAAAATGTCAAAAGAAAAGTGTACAAAGAATAGGTGTTGGTGGTGGAGCTGGGGAGTGTACAGAATGGCACCACCATGGGCCAGTAATCTGGCAACAGCTCCCCACTCTTTAACTGCATATTCCTTTGGCCCCTGAACTCTAAGGATAGCCTCAGAGAAAAATGTGATGTGCCAGATTCTTCTTTTTATAATACTTAGAATGTTTATCCAATCAAGAATGCATCTAATACCATGATGTCATCAGAAACAAGACAGATCCATATTTATTAATTTAAAATGATGTCCATGACATATTTTTTAAAGTTCTAGATTTATGACATAATACATATTTTTAAAAAATTACATGTAGGGCTGGGGCTATAGCTCAGTGATGGAGCACTTGCCTCACACATGTGAGGCACTGGGTTCTCTCCTTAGCACCACATAAAAATAAATAAGTACAAGCTACTGTGTCCATCTACAACTTACATATATAAAATTTAAAAAAAGTCACATGTAAAAACATGGTGTGTTTGCATCACTATGCTTACACATGGGGTTGAGTATAGAAAGTCTGAAGAAAAAATAGGTAAGATTTCCAGTATTTATATTTCTTAATAAATTACTCTCAAATAAAACACACACACAAAAAGCACTGGTTTGATCCCTAGCACCATTAAAAAAAGGGGGAAGGTATAAGAATTATAATAAGTCCTTAAGTAGAGAAAAGCAAGGTATAACACTAATGATAGAAATCCAAGACCAAATAGCCTTGCTTCATGCCAGTCTTTAAAGGGGTGGACCTCATTTTGGCAAGAAGCAAACAGCTCCAGTGCGTGACTCATTCCACACCACAAAGGATGCTGGAGAACAGCCTCTGGGCATTTGCAGCAAGGGCTGAGGCTGAGAGAACAGGTGGGTAGAGAGATACTGGAATTAGCCTCTGGGTCTAGGATGGCTCCCTGCTCCGGCTTCCCTGCCTCCTAAATCCTCAACAATGCCCTTTCTCCTCAGGAGTTCCCCCTGACCATGCCAACCTAATTTCTCTAGGATTTGAATTTTGGAGAAAGGGGAGGGCCCAGGTCAGGGATATAAGATGGTTTGGTCTGAGTCAAAAGGATTTCTTGGAAGGAAAGCACATTATCTTTTGTACCCCAAAGCTTTTACCTTCAGCCAGTTGATATCTGTTGTTTAGCAAACAATAGCTTCTTATATATAAAATCTCAGATGCATCAAGAACTATCAAAAGGTCTAAAACAACACGTCTAGAATTCTAATTCTTGTCTATGCACCTAAATTGTACCATGTTTACTCTGCCATCCAGTTTTCCAGGTACCCTATTTTTGGGGGGAGCTAGTGATGCTGTACAGTGGCTCTCTTAAAACCTGTCCTTTAGGATAGAGGGATGCGTGATAAAATATGTGTAGGAAAACATTAACTACAGAATCTAACAGGGAGTAGATAAGTATTCACTATGATTTTCATAATAAAATGTCACAGAGAAAACTGCTTTCTGAGGTAGAATAATATTCAAGGCTCTCTCTCCTGTGTAATTTAAAGGACAGGTAACCATACTTGCAAAAAAGGTACTCAACAGCAAATTCCAACCCTGGATACCTGTTGACGAGTTGGTTGGAATTCATGAATCCACAGAAAGTAAAGGCAGAGCAGTTACCAAGTCCAGTAATCTCAGAGAGCTTGGGGATGATGCTACAAACACTTTATCAACCTATCTACTACTTCTTAACTTGTATGATCCAAAACAGATTTCACTTACTCCTGCCTCCTTCAAGAAAGAATACATGGCAGTTTCATGGGCAAAAAATTAAATCAGCAGGCAGCACTATTAGGAGGGGAGTTGGTCAGCACTTTCATTTCTTGACCTTATCTTTTGCTGTCCATTCTTAGTTCTCTAAAACCAAGTAAGCTGTGAATAAGCCACATGCACTTGTACCAAATCTAAAAGTACTTTCACCCTGAGTTTTTTGAGCTCCCTAGAGGCTGCTGCTTATCAATGCCAAAGACACTAACAGATGAAGGCTGAGAACACTGTTAAATAAATTCACAGCATTTTAGTAACTGCTTAAAGGGATGAAAATCCTGATAAACAGGGCTCACGTATGTCGAAGTGCTTTCCATTTACTCATTTTATCTTTATCATAGTTCTAATTTATAATGAGAACAGAGAAGCAGAAAAAGTTCAATGACTTTTCAGTGTTCTACAAAACAAGAGGGGGTCAAACCCCGAGTTTCCTGATGTGGCAGACTTGGGACCAGAGCCCAACGGCTTGCACCATGGCCACCTTCACTGTGCATCTCCACAGGAGAAGCAAAGTTGCTTTTGCTCTATGCAAAGCTATGCCACACTGCCTAATGCTGCCACGGTGATGCAACAATCTGGGCTGGGCAAGGGGATGCTCATGGGATACTCTAAAGGCCAAGGCTGCAGACACAGACAGCTCACCTAACCCCATCTGGTCATGCCACCAATGGGGAGAGCTGAAGGGTCATGTTAGTAGAAGACTAAGCCCTAATCATCATCAAAGGGCAAAGATCTCAAGCACAGTTCCCTGGGAAACTTTCAGACAGGCTGATGGCATATTACTCCATTTGGAGTAAATACCGGAATATTAACACGGTCAATATTCTTAAGTTAAAAACTACCCTATTTTTCCATGATCAGTTAAGTGCTTGTAAGTAAACACGAAGCAAAGTACAAACCCAGATATTCTTTTGTTGATGTTAAACTGCTCACAAATGTCAGATGCCAGCACTGTAAGCTGGGGCCCAACAATGCTGTCCAGTCTTCGGCAAAAATCCAACGTCAGCTGTATGGACGCTAGTGAGTAATTTTAAAAAAATAACATTCAGTGTTACCAATACTTTGTGTTAAACAGATCAATATTATTTTTTACCTCCAATATTTAATAGTATTCAAATAAAACGTTACTATCAATTAAATATAAACAAAACATTTAGGAAATAAAACAATCAGATGATCAGATACCCCCCGCCCCCGCAAACAAAAGAGAAAGAATTAAAATTAGTTATATTTAAGATAAAAAAGATTCAAAGACAGTCTTACTGTGAAAAGTGGCTTTACATGCACCCTGAGGGGTGGCAATCAGCTGCTGCCCAGGTGGATCTAACATATGACAGCACTCTGTAACGTGCTGCTTGATGCTTTTCAAATTCCTACCTCATTTAACCCCCAAGTCCCTCTGAATCAGGAACCACTGCTACCCCCAACACACAAGTCAGCAGGTATAGAGGTGTATACACAGGTCTATTGTTGACAAGTGGGAAGGGTAAGAAGGGGCCCCTCAAGTAAAAGAGTTCCCAGATGGGGAACAGCCCTTAATATAGCCTCTCTGTTGCTTTTTACTGCACATTATTTATTGCTTAAAAACAGAACATAGCAAATTACAAAAAGCTTATGTGGTCAGGCTGAAACCAGACATAGGTGTGCACCTACCATCAATCATAAAGCACACAGCTGCACTCATGGCCTGGAGAAAACAAACCAGAGATTATAAAACGGCACAAAAAGGAGGCTACGTGTAATAACAAAATGCAGCGAGCTTGTTTAAATCTTGATTTGAACAAACCAACTGTAAAAAGATTCTTTTTCCACGACTGGAGCAATCTGGATACAATGGATATTAAGGAAGGACTGTTTTGTGAGGTGTGACAATGGTCTAATGGTTACGCTACAGGAGATAGCCTCATCAGTCAGGGATGCAAAGGGAGCTATTTACAAGTGAAAGGGTCTGGTGATATAAATGCTCTAGCAAATAAGACAAATGCAACACAAATGGGACAGATGAGAGATTAGCCTTTTATTGATTAAGCTCTGTGACAGGTACTTGGGGTTTCATCATTCTAGTCTATGTGTACTTGACAGTTTCCATTAATAAAAGACTATAAATTGAAGTTATCTTATCTTACTTCATTCCAGCAAATAATTGCAGTTATGACATTAGGCAAGTAATAGCAATTTACAACAAACAAGATAATAAATAACCCAAATGTTTAAATTTAAAATTTATCATAGCAATGCAGTGTTAAAAAAAAATCCAGTATGAACAATGACAGTCTTTCAAAACTTTAAACTAATGTTATAAAGAAGAAAGTCTCAAATCAATAACCTAATCATCCACCTTAAGACCCTGGAAAACAGAGAAAACTGAACTTGAAGCAAATATGAAGGAAGATAATGATGATCTGAGCAGAAGTCAATCACACAGGGGGGAGAACAGACAACAAGAGACTATAAATGAAGCCAAACAGTGTTTCTCTGGCATGATCAACAACACTGAAATCTCTTGCTAGACTGGAGATTGAGGATGGGGTGGGGACTCAAATGACAACAATCAGGAATAAAAACAAACATCACTACTGACTTTACTGGAAAAGAAAGTAGCAAAGGCATCGTATCCCACTAGAAACCACTGCACACCCACAAATGGAAAAACTCAATGCAACTGACAAATTCCTTGAAAGACACAGACTACCAAACTGTCTCCAGAAGAAATAGAAAATCAGACCAGTAACAAGTGAAGAGACCAGTATTTTAACATTTCTCACAAAGGCAAGCCCTGGTACAGTTGGCTGTATTATGAATTTACCAAATATTTAAAGAATTAACACCAACTCTTCAGGAAATCTTCCCAAAAATGAGAGAAGGGAACATTTACCTCCTCATTCTATGAAGATAACATCATCTTGATAGCAAAACCAGACAAAGTTATTATGACGTAAGAAAACTACAGGCCACATCCTTCATCACCACAGCCTCTGCAGTATTATCCTGACCCCTGCAGGCTGGAGATGAGGTCAGCCATATGGAGCCAACTGCGTCTATGTAGCCAATCCCTGATTCAGACGTGGAGGTACAGGTGAACTCCCTGGAGGGCATCACTCCACACACTTCACACAACTGTGCCACAGAAGTAGGTGCTGTGCTGTCTGCAGGACTCCACTGGGAGAGGACAACTTGTGCTCATGCCTGGTGACTTCCAGCCTTTGCTACATGTTCTTCCCTGAGCTGACTTCACATGTTCCCTTACACTGTAACAGACCATGAGTGTGAATATAAAGGCTTTTCTGGGTCCTCTAGTCCTTAGGAACTGCCAAACCTTAAGGCAATGAACTTTGCAATGAGAAATTGCTGAATTGACCAATGACCATTTTAAGTGCATGAATTTTATGGTATATGAATTATACCTCAATAAAGCTGCTTATAAAAAGATAAGGCTGGGTATGGCGGTACACAGCTATAGTTCTAGGTACCCAGGAGCCTAAGGCCAGAGGGCCCCAAGTTCAAGGCCAGCCTAGGAAACCTAGTGAGACCCTGACTTAAAATAAAAACTGAAAAGGCTGGGGATGTAGCTCAATAGTAGAGCACTCCTGAGTTTAATCCCCAGTACAAAAAAAAAAAAAAAAAAAAGAAAAAGAAAAAGGAACAAAGATAAGGACTAATATTGGACCAGCCTGAGAGTTTAAAGGCATTGTGTCTGAACATTCAAAGCAGAAGCAGAAGAATTTTAGCTTGACAGACAATGGACCAATTCCTTCCTCTAGCTACTGCTATAAATCATGCCTCATTTCAGGAACACGTCTTTTTATATGTTTTCTCTGGAACTTCCATTTCCCTGGCAGTTCATCACATTTAACTGCTTCASAATACCATTTTAGGGACTGGGATTTGTATCTCAGCAGCAGAGTGCTAGCCTAGCACCCATGAGGTACTGGGTTCAATCCTCAGTACTACATAAAAAATATAAATAAATAAAACAAAGGTATTATATGCATCTACAGCTAAAAAATATAAAATAAAATACCATTTCACAAACAAAAAATATTTATATTTTAGAGGCCCTGAAAACCAAGAGTGGTTCTTCCTATTGCTCCATTATGGATACCTCTGAGGTGTTAGATGCTGGCAAACTTAAGAGCTCTGTCATCTTGAGACTTCCCTTTATTACTCTCCTGGGTCAGAACCAGTGGTTTGGATTCCAAGGTGCTCCCTGTCCTGGTTTACCCACTTAACTCTGATGAGGGTTGGCTCCATGCAACATTCTGAAAGGATGAAGGGATGAGACCTTTTCTTCTGTGTCACCTGTGATTGATAATTTGGCTTGTCCAAGATGTCTACACTGAAAACTATTTTCTCTCAGAACTTTAAATGTAACATTGTAACCCAACATCTGGGCTTAGCTAGAAAACTAATGGTGCTAGTTTTGCAGATGACTAAATTTTCCTTCTGGAAGCTTTCAAAATCTTCTCTTTATATTTCTAAAGTTGCCCAATGTTGTATAGGTGTGAGTCTTTTCCATTCATTATGGCAGACATTCAGAGAATCTTTACACTTTAGAAAATTATGTTCCTCTTCAGATAGGCATTTTCTTATATGATTATTCTACTTGTTTCCTAAATTCCTGAATTAATCCTTTCTTCTCACCTTTCCTTCCATGATTTTTACCTACTGTCCTTTTAATCTATATTCTGGAGCAGGCCAACTTATCTTTACCCTGCTAATGAATGTCACATGTCTAAAATCATATTTTCAGGACTGGGGAAAGAGTTTTGCTTAATGGGTACAGAGTTTCAGTTAAAAGTTATGAAGTAGTTTTGGATGGCTGCACAACACTCTGAATACATTTAATTCTACTGAATTGTCCACTTAAAAATGGCTGAAATAGTCAGGTGGGGTGGCACATGCCTATCATACTAGCAATCACAAATTCAAGGCCAGTCTCAGCAACTTAGTGAGACTGTCTTAAAATAAAAATTTTAAAAAAGGACTGGAGGTAGAGGTGTATAGCTCAGTGGTAGAGCCATCCTGGATTAAGTCCCTCACACACAAAGGCTAAAACAGAAAATTTTATAGTACATATATATTTTACCATAATAAAACAATTTTTTTTTTTTTTGAGACAGGGTCTCTCTTGCCTAGGCTGGCTCTGAACGCATGATCCTGCTTCAGTTTCCTGAGTTGCTGAGATTATAGGCATGCAGAACATTGCCTGGCTTAAAATATTTTAAAATATTTTTAATTAACCCGAGTTCAATATAACCCGAACTCTTTTATATCATTTTGCTTCAATTCTGTAGGTACAACTTCTCCAATTAGTGGCTACTGATTTTTAAAAGTTCCTGGGTATTCCTAGAATTCTTGTTTTTTCTTTGGGTGCCTGTAGTTTTATTTTTTATTCATGTTTAAGAATGAGGAACCAGAAAGCTGCCTATGCATGGAAGTTCCACACGGGGTGAGGATAGAGAAGCAGTTATGCTGGGCAGATGAAGTCACAATGAGTGGACCTGACTCTCAGATGCTGAGACCCACACTAACTACTCAAGGTCTCTCTCAATTATTTATTATCTTTTACACAAACCCTCAATCTTCACCCAGGGACAGGTGCTCAGCTGTAGGCCTGTGTGTAAGAACAAGAAGTGGTGGTGGGGTGGTATGGGGCACTGACTAGTTGAGACAACACCTTCCTTATTCCCCTTCTTCCTACACTGAGTTCCCACTGGCCCTCAGGTGACTACCTCTGTTCCGAGTTAAGAATTTCTCTGGGCTCCTGTCTCCTCTCACTCCCTGGCTCAGAGATTTTTCCACTCTCCTCTCAGTCACCGCTCTTACATTTCCTTTCCATCTTCTAGTTATGAGATTCCCTTCCTGTTCTCTTGGGGCATCATGTCTAGGTCTTTATGAATTAAAACTAGTTCATTGTAGTTTTGGGGTGGGAAAGAAGATCAATACATATACTTGGGTTGTCTTCTTTACACCAAAAACTGTCTTTAAATAAAAAGAAAACCAGTTGGGTGTGTAGGTATGTGCCAGTAGACCCACCTACTCAGGAGGCTGAAGTGGGAAGATTGCTTGAGCCAAGGAATTCAAGACCAACTTGGGCAACAGGCAAGAAAAACAAAAACAAAACAACAAAAAAAGAAAACTCAACCTAATGTACATATCCTTATAAAAGAGTATCCTAACAAAAACAAAAATACTATCCTTATATAATAACAAGTCCTCAGCTTTGAGAATCAGAGCAAAAGCAGATTTCACTGAGGTGTGACCATAGCCAGGGGGCATTTAACTGACAGGTGGCACCACCCTGACAGCCTTTGGTTTGTGAGTACACGGGACTTCAAATATTTGAGAAGCACCACCTTAGCAAGCTATTCTTTCACTAATAGCAAAATTGTTTAAAAAGAGCTGAAAACACACTAATCCAGAAGAGCACCCATTTTGAGTTTTACAATAATTAGAACTACCAACAATTTTTCCAAAAAACATTTAAGAGGTTTGCATACGTACTCAAGTACACATGCAAGAAAGATTTACTTTAGTATTAATCTGTAACACTGGAGGGAAAAACAGTTGTTACCTTATAAACAATTAAATGGAGCTCTTCATAAGTGTCATCTGTATTTACAAAAATTTTGGGGAATCTGCATTTTGCTTCTGGATCATTAAGGTTCAAGGGTCCAGTAAGAAATCTTAAAAGTAAGCACAGAGATGACTCAACTCAATGAGGTAAATTATAAACAGGAATATAGAAATACACATCAATATTTTTGCAACTAGATGCTATACAGAAAACATGAAATCAGAATATGATAAAATTTATAGTTTAAATTAATTGGAAACAAAAGAATTTCCTCTGTTGATCATCACCAATAAAATAGCACAAAGGTAATTCAGTGTTCATCATTTCCCCTTTACCAGGAAAGCTAATGAAACCCAATATTGTAAATCAAAGAACAAAGATCCTACCTTCCATAATGTTGAAGATTTCCTGGCATTTCTGCTCTTATTGGAGAATCCCTTCCTGCCAACTGCAAACACATTTAAAGTTCAAAAATGACTGATTAGATTTTTTTTTTTTTAACTTTCAAAGCTTTGACAAATAACATTCCCATCTGCTAGTTGGTTCCAGGTACTTTGTATCAATTTTCCATATTCCTCCCCACCAAAAAAAAAAAAAAAAAAAGGGTAGAAGATTACAGACATTCATAAAGAACTGATTTTAACCATGCCTGTCATCATACCATACCCCAAATTCCACACACTAATTTAGCTCCTTATTAAAAACAAACAACAAACAAAAAACAACTAAAATTTCCCATGTGACATAAATTGGGAAATCACACACTACCCTGTGGGGAATGTCCTCTTCCCACTTCCTAGATTAGAAACTGAAGTTTGGAGAATTGCACCAACACAATGAGTGGTAGGGGCAGACATTATGACCAGGCCTGTCCAGTGTCAAAGTCTCTACTTTCAGCCATGACACCATGTCTCTTCTAAGATTTGTATTTGTCACATATCCCTAGTTAATTGCTGAAAGTATACCATTTCAACACACATAGGAAATGAAACAATCCAAACACAATAGTCATGTTTGTGAAAACTTGATACTTCTGTTAAAAATGCTTGATGCTCTTCTGGTTTATACAAAGCTTTAACACAGAACTTCAGAAGACCCAAAACACATTACGAGCCCAATGGTGAAAAAGCACAGACCAATTCTCATTCATTTAGTTTGCACTGAAAGACAGGCTTCATATGCCCATGTCACGCTACCATACTGTGTACTGTGGCTTCCTATTTTGTCTCTCTCTTAAGCTGTACARAGATATCAGTTGTCTGTGGTGGCACAGCACTGTGGCCTTAAGGGGTGTGCTCACAAGTAGGTGCTTCAGGATTTGGAAGACTTTGAGGTCAAGTCTTTGCTGGGGGACCCTGGATTGCCTCATCTGTGGGATGGGACARCATACTTAACTCTTGGGACTGCTGTCATGGTATCATGAAATCTTGCAGGCATGTTGGGCATTGGGAACCATGGCTGTGTACAGGAAGTACCCCAGAACCATCAGCTACTGTCCTCAACCCATCTGGAAAGAAGCTAAGGCCAGGAGGAGATCCTTCTTAAAAACCCTTCTTTCAATTTCTTATTAAAGAAGATTTTTTTGTTATTTCCATAATCAAGCCCTTAAGAGAGAAGGGACATTAGAGAAGGATGGAGAGGGAGAAGAAGAGGGAGAGCCTGCAATCGACGTGGGTCTATGCATGCTCCTGAGCAAAAATGATGACTTTATGCTCTGTGAACACTTTTTACTTCCAACCTAATTAGAACTAGGAAAGGGTACTTTGGGGAGAACACTGGTATTATTTACTTATTTATAAAAAAAATTTTTTTAGCTGCAGATAGACACAATATCTTTATTTATTCATTTTTTTTTTTTTTTAAACATGGTGCTGAGGATCGAACCCAGTGTCTTACATGTGTGAGGCAAGTGCTCTACCACTGAGCCCCAGCCCCAGCCTCTGGTATAATTTAAAGTTCTATACAGAAAATAGGGAAATTAAGTACCAGAGTGGGAAAGCCAGGCAGGTAACATACCATCTACTCACTATCAGATCTCACATTTGTAGATGGAAGAGATTGTAAGACTGACCAGAGTTGGTCATGGATCCCTGCTATTTTCATGGTTCCCTGGACCTCACCTAAAACCCACTCTTTACTCTTAAGAACACACCTTTACTATTGCATTTGGATGAAACAAACTGGAGAAAAACTGACACACATGGGTTTCTGTGCTACTAAGTGATACACAATAAGTATCACTGCATCACAAATAAAATAAAACACAGCAAGAAATGCCCCACACACCATATTACTCAACCCCCTACCCCTGTCCAAAAGTGTATGCATGTGTGTATCTACAGAGCCCAACCATACCTCAGGTTCGATGTGCCTGGGAAACAGAGAGGTGGTGAGGTATTTGTATAAAATTCTCATGTCATCTTGTTCTAATCCACTCCTGAAACATCAGAAAGCACTGTGTTAAGTTTGGGATTGGTCTTCTGTTTTTTTCTATGCTCTATGATAAAGTTTACCTTTCCTTCCTTTTTAAGAAGGTGGCTGCCCTTAACTGGGCAGTTCAGGTGGGGAGTGAGTTAGACATGAGCTGGCACAAGCACTACACCCTAACCTGCTTAAGGCTACTGCAATGCAGTTCTGTAATTCATAGGCATCTAAAATCTCAAGGGAAGATTGAGTCTCAGGCTGAATTCCAAGGATTATTTAGGGGGCCTTAACAAGCACACTGCTGCATTCTAGCAGCAGGGGTTCCTTAGCTTCCTGGCCTATACAGTAACACCACATTCTGAAAATACTGGCATGCTGTACACAGGGAACTTGATCCTAGGTTGCAGAAATACATCTGGATTTTAATTCTCTGGATCTCAATGTAGAAAAAGGAAAAGAAAGAAATAAGCTTTAATTTCAAATGAGGTAGGAATAAGGAGCTGTAGAAAAAGCATTAAGAAACTAGAAAGTCTAAATAGAAGGAATTTTACGGAGTCTCACACAGCCACTCAGGTAGATAATTTCTAAATCAAACATGGAAAGTTACCAACTTTTTTCTTTTGTAGAAATAATTGAAATAAGGGAAGAAGAGGAAAACAAAACAACAGGTTCTGGGTGTTACCGTCCTGTTGAGAGGTAGTAAGCATTACTAGGGAACTCAAGTGATGGTAAGAAAAGACAGTACATAAGGAATTAATGTGTGGGTAACTATCTTTTAAGAGCCGCATTTCCAGTAGCAGGAGCTAATGGACACATCTGATCATTAGCATCTGAGATGCAGTTGGCCAAAAACAGTACAAAATACATACTGGATTTTAAACTTAGCACAAAATTGTCAGCTCATTAATTTAAAAATACTGTTTACATACTGATATAATATTTTAGATGTATTAGGCTAAAGAATATATTTTACTAAAATTAATCTCACTAGTCTCTTTCTACTTCAATATGACTACTAGAAAATGTAAAGTTTACATGTGACCTGCATCATATTCAGTACTGTCCTCGATCAGAGGACACTTGGGTAGAAAACAAACTATAAGAGGAAAGGGAAGACAGCAGTGTGAGCTGCTAACTGTATGCACTGTGCTCAGGGCTTTCTTTTTATTATTTTACTTAAGACCTGCTAGACCCACCACACTTCAGTGTTGGTTTTAGGAAATCGAGAGAGAAGTAGGAGTGAGGCTATAGCCAGCTGTGCAAAGCAACAGAATCCCAAGCCAGTGCTTCCTCAGTGCCTGTGGAAAGGCCCTCCTCCTCACAAGGTAACCATGGTGAGCTCTCCCCAGTATCTGCCTCCTGTGCCCTGGCCCTCTCCCCTACAGAAATAATACATCATAATATAGTTAACTAGGTAAGACATTACCACTGGGAAAAATTTCTTACAACTGCATGTGAATCTTTAAGGACTTCAAAACAAAAAGTTTACAATGAACAGAAGAGCCCCTTCTTAAGCACAAATAATATGTGAAACAAATGAAACCCTGCACTGACAGGCCCAAATAATCCCCGTTCGATCAATGATTCACATCAAATAGGAAAATAGCCCACTCAAACTCAGAGGATGTTCTCTAAGTCTCTCAAATAGTTACTTAACGTAATGATTTTTTCTTCTTAAAAAACAAAACATAACACCTAAGATGGATGTGGTGTTGTGCCTGTGGTCCCAGCTACTCAGGAGACTGAGGGAGCAGGAGCCTTGAACACAAAATCTGAGGCCAGCCTGGGTAAGAGAAGCAAGGCCCTATATTAAAAAAACACAAAAACCCCAAAAATGTTTCTTTAGCTTAAATCTCAACTGATTCACTTGTGTGCCAATGTGACACTATTACTTTGTCAAGACTGATTATTATTCTTATTTTGTGGGTAACTTTGTGCCAATTCAACTTCAATGCTAAAGGGACTTCCACGTGTATACCCCTTGTCTCTGATGGAGATATCAAGCTATTAAGAACTTCTTTTTGCAGAAGCACTACCAAGTATGAGGTGGCTATCATTAAATGCAGAACCTTTCCTGTTAGTTTATTCTAAAATATTGATTGTGCTACTATCATAATATTGAATATAAAATAATCTACCAGGAGCAAAGAATATGGTCAACTTTGAATAACTTAGAAATATCTAGGGCTGGGGTTGTTGCACTTGTGAAGCACTGGGTTTGATCCTCAGCACCACATAAAGGTAAAAAAATAAAATACAGGTGTTGTGTGACCATCTATAATTAAAAAAAATACTTAAAAATAAATATCTAAGACATTTACTCATAAATTTGCTAATTCCTCAGAAGTAAATCAATGAACTAAAAAGAAATTTTTCTCTAAAAATTGGTCAAAATCTGAATAAGAAAATAAACTAACCCCTCCCATCCAACAATAATAAATATCTAACCCAGGCAATGCCTGCTACAAAAACCAAACACATTCATTAAATGCGTCGTACAAACAGAACCTGAGATTTTTTTTTTACTCATTACTTGCTTTGAACTGACCATCAAGATTTACTGAGTACCTATTGTGCGTCATGCCACAGTCATGTGCTTCAGATGCACAAGTTAAAAAAAAATAAAGGAAGTAATAAGAGTAAATACATACTGTGCTCCTGAGGCATAAATTCTTTCTTGGTATTTAAATATACCAGCCATTTTCTTAAAGCTCCTTGTTGTTACCTCCTGGGACCAACTTTTCCCTGCCTGCATACTGGATGGACCACAGAGCTGGTGCTATTTGACTCCAGGGGATGCCCTTCACAATCTGATGATGCCAAGAGGATCCCTTGAAGCTGGGCAACAGGTAGCTGTGGGAATGCAGGCTTCCAGAGCCCAATCCTGTTGGTTGCTCTGGATCCAGGGTCTCCCAGAACAAGTTGGCTCTGGGCCTTTCCCTTCCTCACTCCCATGGTTTGCATGTGTTATCAGGGCTTGTGGGGTACGAGATCAGAATCTGAGCTACTGTCTTCTGACAGTACAGAGGTGGCCCTGGACCACTGTCTCTGTATCTCCTACTACCAATGATGGCTGTTAACCCTCCCAGCACCTCTAATTTTCACCTGTGGAGGGGCCACTCCCTCCACAGAACTGCTGCTGTAAAAGCACTACTATCTTTCTACCTTGTAAGTTTTATTTTGCTAACACAGCATTAGCATCACAGAAAGTAACTAGAGCAGCGTCAGTTAACACAGCATAAAGTTGCCTGATAAGCAATTTGTTAAATTGAAAAGTGGATAGATTTTCATCTGGAGGCAGAAGACAAGTCCACAGGGAAATCCACTAAACCGTTACTTTATGGATTCAAATTTCTGTAGATTATCCTGTTTCTCTTCTGAACATAGATACAGAATTCTGACAGGACAGGGAATGGGCTTCTCTTCAGTTTCTCATGTTAAAATACAACCACCCCCCCCAATTTAAAAATGTGGGTTACAGTAAACGCAAACATAAAAATTGAGGGCCCCAGAGGGGCTACTATTGGAATACTGGCCAGATGCTCCCTAATGGGTTATCAGGGACAAATCTCAGCCAGGCTGGTACACAGGTGACAGGCAGGGCTGCCACATTACTCTTTGGGGTATATCCATCCCACAGTCACAGGCTCATTCACGTGGGTTCCCCAGAAATTAGTCTTAAATGACAACATTTAATATTACTTTTTCTTCTTGAACACTGACATTTTCTTCAACAAAATGATTTTTTTGTTCCCACTATAGGATACAAACATAGCTGGACAATGGGTGATCTCCTAGTTTATAGTCATCTTGGATTTTTTTTTTTCTTTTTTTGGAGGGGGGAGGTACTGGGGATTGAACACAGGGGCACTCAATCACTAAGCCACATACCCAGCCATATTTTGTATTTTATTTGGAGATAGGGTCTCACTGAGTTGCTTAGCACCTCGATTTTGCTGAGGCTGGCTTTGAACTCATGATCCTCCTGCCTCAGCCTCCTGAGCCACTGGGATTACTGGTGTGTGCCGCCCAGTCCAGCTATCTTGGATATTTTAAAGAATCAGCTTCTTTACAAGAAAGCATGAAAAATGATGCATTTCACATTTACTTTATCACTGCTTTGAAGATGGGGATATTTTCTCTACCTAGTATGGAGTTGGTTCTAAACTCCCCCACTTGGTAATTTTGTTACAATCTTAGTTTTGTTTTAAATAATTCCTGTTTACTAATGACATCCTCTATAAGGAAGCTCTCTATCCATTCCCCTGTTGTTGGTTCCTGTTTGACAACCTGCTACTGATTTAGTCACAGCTGTGTTTATTACTCTGACTTCCTCCTCTCACATGCCAAGTCTTAAGTTAGGTTATACCTACCAGATGAGCTGATCATTATAGAGAAACGCAGTGTATTTAACTATGTTCAGGCTTTCCTCCATTCTGTTAATAAAGGCCTGGATTTTCATCTAACTCATTTTATCCAATGGGAAGAAGCTGATTCCACCAAATATGTCAAGTAGGTCACATGACTGTAAATGTAGAGTTTGCAAATACTGTGGGAAAAAATAAGGTATAAAACAATAGTGCATTTAATGTAGTACTCTGACAACTGAAACTAATAATCTTATGTTACATGAACATTTATGGTATAGTTACATATTGACAAAGAGTACAATTTCAAAAACAACAAATAGGTAGAATTGAAATCAGTAGCAATTTTAAAATATTGAACCTAACTAGTTACTATTTTATCCCTTTAAAATATTTAAATTCTCATATTAGTGCTCCTCAGATTAAGTCATTACTCATTAGGATATTATTATACCATGTTTGGACAGTGACACTTTGAAGGATGTCCCATCAACCAGAGTAGTAAGGACAAAAACAGGAACCAGGAGACAGTATGAGAATGATTATTATGGTCATTAAAGAGAAGAAATAAAGAAAAGTAATTCATAAAAACAAAACAAAAACCCACAAAAAAGTATCAAAAATGTCTGAGACAAAGTTAAAAAAGTATAAGAGGTATTATAGGGAGAAAATACAGAATTATTCCTTTAACATAAAACTGGATTTGACAAAAGTAGGGGTGAGATTTGCAAAATGCAATGTGCAATGAAAAAGAATGGCAACTATTTAGGGCCATTCTCATTTGGGACAAGTTATACTAAAAACCACTAACGTGACAGAGTCTGTATCATAGTCACAAATTTTTTCCTTGAGCCAATATAGATTATGCCTTTTTAAGGAACAGAACCAATCCATAACATGCAACTCTAGTAACTGCTTACCTTTTGCTAATTGACCAAGCTACCACATACTATGATTGCTTTTGAGTAAGTCTGCACAGATGGATGCAGGTAGAACAAGGGCAAAGCCCAAAGGTGTCTCCCAGATGCTTCCAGGAGCCTTGAACAGGGACAGGATGCTCTACTCCAGTGTGGGCCTGAGGAGTCCCTCACTGCTCTGGTTTTGCCACAGTACCTCTTAAGCTCTTTGACATCTTCAAGTTCCAGGGTTTTTATAAAAACAAAATAAAAAACTTGTTTGCATCTATGTTTCTTTTTGGTACCGGTGATTGAACCCAGAGATGCTCCATCATTAATCTATATTCCTAACCCTCTTTATTTTGAAACAAGGTCTCACTAAGTTGCTGAGGCTGGTCTCAAACCTGTAATCGTCCTAACTCAACCTCCCGAACTCTCTGAACTGTCTAAATACTACTAAAATTATAAATAAAATTTGAAATACTTACCCGATGGAAGAATTTCTCTAATCTTTCTTTTAAGAGCTTGACACCTCCATCTTCCATGGCTTTCAAAAATGTCCCATTAAAAAGCTAATAGTGTAAGACATTGTGGAAAAAAAAAATCAATTTCCAATGCCCATCAGTTTCCCAATGCAACAAGTTCTTCTTTTCCTTTTAATTAATTCAGTTCATTAATCCCCCCATACTTCCTTATAAACATAGAAAACATTCACAGGAGAAAGCTTGAGTTATTAGTTACAATAAATACACCGTTAAGTGTTACTCATTTTTATGAAACCACTTAATTGTTCTAGAAGTTTTCTTTTTCTTTTTTCTTTTTTGAGATAGGATCCCATTATGTTATCAAGCTAGTCTCCAACTCCTGGGCTCAAGTTTCAATTTACATAAATAACATTACCAAGATTTTTAAATTATCAAAATATCTGCAGTCTTTATGTTACTTGAGAAGATGGACTCATTTGTTCCCTAATGAGGATTTAGTCCTACAGGACTAGGAACAGAGAAGGGGGTTTAATGTTAGATAGAATAAATGTCTGCATAAACCTTACCACCTGTTTCAAAGGCCATATTATTTTATCCCCCAAAACAGCTACACAGCCATTTTGTAGCACCTAAAGAATTCTTTTTAAACAATCCCTAAGCTTGTAACAGGATGAACTGGACAGACTCTCAATTCAAAAAGAAGTCACACTTACCTTGTACATGCTATAGCACTGTTGTAGCACTGAACTATAGACCTTGTCCTACAAACAAGAAAACAGAACAAATCTCAATTCAAGGGAAAAAACTGTCTTTTGTGCACAGCAAAGATGGAGTAACTCTTGGCAAAACAGTATAATAATTATAAACTAGGTCCTATAATACTTGTGTGTAGAAAATGCGAGGTGGTTAAATTCAAATTGTAGGAAGGCTTCACAATACAGATGATCATAAGAAAATTATTAGTGATACAGGATACATATGTTTTTAAAAAACTGTACTAATATACACACTAAACACGAAACTTTTCTATGTACCTTGAGAAAATATAAGTCATTCAACATATTCAATAATAAATTTTTTCCTAAAAAATATGAAATTAAAAAAAATGACACATTACCAAAAGTTCTTCCTCTTGGTATTCAACAATTGGTTTTCCATCTTTACTTTGTTTTTCAATTATAGGATTCCGAACAACCTACAATGTTTGATAAACTGAAATTATACAATGAATTGATTATGTATGTTTTAAATTCTGCCTTACTTTTAAAAATTTAGGGCTAGGGATGTAGGTTAGTGGGAGAGCATTTGCCTAGCATATCAAAACCCCGGGTTCATTCCCAGCACCACAGAAAAAAATAATTTACACATGTCACACCCCCAGAAACATAATTTCTTAAAACTGCCCCAAGAACAAACACACTGAACAGAAATTTGGCTTTAAAATGTCAACCAGTTTTACTGAAATTTTACTTTGATGTAATAGTGAGAGAACATTCCTAAATTCCTAATGGTAAAGAATACCCATACCATACTAACTCAGAAAAAAACACTTATGTATAGGGGTTAGGGGTTGTGGCTCAGTGGTAGAGTGCTTGCCTAGTACGCATGAGGCACTGGGTTCGATTCTCAACACCAAATATAAAATAAAATAAAGGTCCATCAGCAACTTAAAATTTTTTTAATTAAAAAAAAAGATACTTATGTATAAATACCATGACCATCCAGAAATTTTCTTCTGGTTCATTGAAGAACTGTCTATTCTTCTGTGTATGTAAAGATTTTGCAGGTTTTGACGGACTAAAGGTCCTAAAAAAATTAAAATAACATGTTGGAAAAACTCTCCACCATAAGTTTTAAGAATTCATTGAGCTCTACAAAGGCACATTTAAAGGCATTACCTTGTAAATTGTACAATAGCTTCGCATAACCCAACATTTCTAATTTTTTCATTCTTTTCTACTTCATTTGGATGATAAAACAAAATTTTATTTTCCTCCTAAAGTATGAAGAAACAGAAGCACAACATCAACATACGCTTTTCTTCATCTTAGCTATTGAAAGTGCTAAGTTTAACAATGACCTCTCCTATAATAGCTCTAAGGACAAAACCAAAGACACTTTTTGGAAAAACAGGAATTATCTCATCAGACATTGTGTAAATACCGCCCATTCGTCTGAAATTTTTGGCCACTGCGATATTCACTAAAACACGTTTCATCTCAAGCAGTCCTAGATAACTGCAATGATTTCTGGATTTCTTTCCGTGGGATGAGTTGTAACACCAGCGCTTGTAAAAAGCAAGTGTGTGCGCAAGTGCCCAGGAATACAGCTCTCAAAAATTAAATCCAGCTGGTTCAACGGCATTTGGACTGACAGCTTTAACAAGGACTGTGATTTGCTGACCACAAAACAAAGCTCTGGACATCTTTTGAGGAAGCCAGCCAGCATCCTCACCTAAGAACAAACAAAAGCTCCTGGCGTCTTATTTACTAATTTGATTAAAAAAAAAAAAAAAAAAAAAAAAACTTTCCGAGGGTCCTCCAAGCTTGCAATCTCTTAAAGCTACTGCCCACCACTCGGGTTCCACAGTTCTTCTCGGATACTTCCAATAATAAAGACAAGTTCCATTTTTATTCCCCATAACTGATGCAAAGCGAAAAGACAGCCTGCGTGGAGTGGTTAACCTGGCGGACCTTCATTCAGCAGCCAGACCCCGACCCGGCAACGCAGCTGACCCTGCCTCCGCTGTCAGCTCCCTGCCGCACACTTGGCCCCACAGCAGGCTCAGCCAGGGCAGCTCGAGGACCGAGGACCGTAGAACCACGGGGGCCGCCTCCCGGGCACACCCCGCGGCTCCAGGGCACCGACGCCGGCCGGCCGGCTGCCCTTCCGCCCCCGAGGCCTCCTCGGCCACCGGCGGACGCCCGCGCGCAGTCCCTCCGCGTACCTCTCCCTCGCGCGGCCCAAAGCGCGGATTGTAAATGAAGAAACTCAGCAGCGCCGGCGGGAACTGCTTCTCTTGGGCCGCCCAAGCCCCGGCCCCAGCACCGGCCGCCGATGCTGCCATCCCGGCCCGGCCCCCACCTCTGGAGCCTCCCACGGCCCGCCCAGAGACAGTGGCCTYGAGGCAACTACACTTCCGCCTCACTTGCCACCGCCCCGGAAGCGGTTACTGCCGGCCCGGAAAAAGAACTTGCCACGCAGTGTCCTCTCTGGCACGTCCGGGTGGATCCTGTTCCCCTGTGTTTCCTGGACTGAGTTGTTTCTAATGCCTTTTAAGGGACTTCTGGATCTACCCGCTCGTTGAAGTGGGCGCCTTAACTCCAGTTTCTCCTGCTCAGTGTGAGCCGCAAAGGCGAGAATAGATGTGGTGTTCGTCGGAATGCCCATTTCTGGGCCTTGACGTGCCTGGAGTCTGTGGATTGTGACACCTGGAGGGCTCGTTAGGTCCAACATTTGGAATTCAAGCCCTTAGCAGACTGGTTGGCCAAACCCAGATCTGTCACAGATGAAGTTTGGAAACAAGGCCTCTTTTACCCAGCCCTCAGGGTAGTCCTTCACGTCTAGGGAGATGAAGCGTTGGGGTTTGTTCATGAGACAGATCTGGGTACACATCCTAGCTCTGCCATTCACTTAGTGTGGGACCCATCACCCATCACCCAGCCTCTCCAGGTCTCTCTTATGTGTAAAATGACTAACAGTTGATTCCTGCCTACTGGAAATTTCACTTTGAGAATGAAGTGGGACTATCAATGGACTTCAAATGCCCAGCATGCAATCATTACGGAACAAGTGATTGCTACTTTTCTTTGGGCTTTCCCAGCTAGTTTAAGGGAAAAATTTTTTTTTTTTTTTGTACTGGGATTGAACCCAGAGACACTTAACCACTGAGCACATAACCACTGAGCCACATCCCCAGCCATTTTATATTTTATTTAGAGACAGGGTCTCGCTAAATTGCTTAGAGCCTCGCTAAGTTGCTGAGGCTGACATTGAGCTTGCAGTCCTCCTGTCTCTGGGCTTACAGGCGTGCACCACTGGGCCTGGCTGCTAACTTGCTTCTAAGTGCATGAAGACCTCCCATTAGAACTGCACGTTTTGAGCTGGTCAGGGTGGCTCATGCYGTAATCCCAGAGACTGGGAGRTTGAGGTAAATTCGAGTCCAACTCCAGCAATTTAGCAAGACCCTATCTCTAAATAAATAAACAGATAGATAGATAGATGGTTAAATAAATAAAGTAGATAGAAAGATAGATAGATAGATAGATAGATAGATAGATAGATAGATAGATAGGGCTGAAGATGTAGCTCAGAGGTTAAGTGCCCTGCCTGGGTCCAATCCTGGTTAAAAAGAAGAAGGAGAAGGGGGAGGGGGGGAGGAGGAGGAGGAGGAGGAGGAAGAGGAGGCCAGCAAACAACATCAACAACAACAAAACTACATATTTTGGCATTAAAGCAATAGTTTTGAAAGCCTCTTTTTAAAGGTACCAGTGTTCAGTTCACCCCCACACAAATCTTTTCTTCCCCCCAGATTCTTATGGAAACTTGTAATATATAAAATAAACAGAGAACTACCAAGGTTAAGAAAGGGCCCAAATAGTAGACTATAGACTGATGTCTAAGAGTACCTTCCAGGAGCTACCCACCATCCCCATTTCTCTCAGGGACCCTAAAACATGGACGCGGAACTCTGCAACTCCAGGGAACATAGTTTGAAAATTCCAGATTAAAGAATTCTTTCCTCTATGTCAGAGCAAATGCTTCTGGAAGAATAATAGGAAGAGCCCAGGACTTGGATAGGAAAACCTGCATTTGAGTTCTGGCTTTGCCATTTACCAGTTGTATGACCTTTGGACAATCCCTTAACTCTCCTCTAAACCTCAATTGCCTCTTCTATAAAATGAGATGAAAACATGCCTTGCAGATTGCCAATATTACATTAGATGATACAAATGAGAGTCCTTTGTAAAGTACAAAGTACTATGTAAATGTGTGAGATTAACATTCTATGGTATCAAGTCATGATTTCTCCTAGGGAACACTTCTGTTTCCTTGTACACTTTGCCCATCCCCATACAATTAATTGCATTTATCATCTTAAGACAGATCAAGGGCTGGGAATGTGGCTCAGTGGTAGTATACTTGCTTARCATGCATGAAGTCATGGATTATATCCCAGTACCACAAGGTGGGGTGGGGAGGAGACACAAAACACCCAGAAATTGAAGAAAATACTTTTAAGTTTCCAAAGCCAAGAAAACGAGAAAGCTTGGACTTTGATTCATCTTCCTCTCCTGGTGTAGTCCTAGGATGGTCATGGGTGCAAGATACAAGTGGGAGAGATGACAGACACCCACATAGGTTTGGAGGATGTGTGTCTTGCTTCCCTGTGGAGCTGGGGCATGGTGGCTAGTCTTGTAGAGTTCCCCTGTGTTTCTAACATGATTTGGCAATAATAAAACATCCGTGGCCACAAGAGTAGGCAATAGGCTCTGCTTGGTACAGAAAGCAGCCACATATTGCACATAGAAATAATCCAGAGAAAGCCTGTATTCAGAAGTCTCAAGCTCAGGATGAGGAAGACATAGCTGTGGCTACTGAAGATCACAGRGAGGAAAGAGGATGACTCCATGGTCACCATGTGAACATACTGAACACACTCCTTTCTCATCTAGAGCCTTGACATGTCAGCTCTTTTCCTGAAACCTAGGGAAAGAAAGGAGACAATGAGGTCAAATTGCCCAACATAATTCTAAATTATGATTCATACACCCAGTACGATAGTCACACGAAGTTCAGTTATAGAACTTCTAACTTTGCACAGTTTGTGAACTCAGAGTTTCAAGGGAATGAGATGTGGGAAAGGCACATATCCTAGGAGAAAGTCACAGTGGGTTCCAGAACGGGTTATTATGGATAAGTTGTCACGTACTGTATGTCTCATCCCTACCGGGAAAGATGAGCTTCTCTGGTAGGACTCTCAGAGTCCCTTTCTTGTTCCTGCTAACTCAGTGCCAACCTTGAAGCACGCATCCATGTGTCTTGAATGAATGAATGACAGAGGCAGGGAGCAGGGAGGGTGGAGAAGTGGACATCAGAGACGGATGTTGTTCCTTCAGGGTTCTGGCTGCTTCCTGTCTTGCTGACAGAGCTCTGGACACAGGCCGATCGAACGTTCTAGTGAGTTCTCTACTCAAGTCAGTATTGAGCTCCAAGAGGAAGTTGCTGGATGCAATGTACACCTCCCTCCCTCAGTTAAAATCGTCCTCATCCTCCATCTCTTCCATCATCACCTGGAAAGTATCTTCAAGAACACATGGTTCAGGCTGGGGCTAGAGCTCAGTGGTAGAGCACTGGATTYGATCCTCAGCACCTCATAAAATTAAATAAAATAAAGGTATTGTGTCCTTCTGTTACCACTGTTTACCGGTGACGAGTCCTTGCTTCCCCAGTGCTGAAGTATAACATCAGAGAAGCACGCCGAGGCTAGTTTAGAGTGGAAAGTAGAAGCTTTATTAAGGACAGCAGAAAAGACTTCTTCCCAGAGAAAGAAGGGGACCCAAGAGGTGGAATCTGTGGAAGGGCAAGATCTTCCCTCTTTTATAGCTAAGGTCTTCTTTTTATACACTCTTTGGGGAAGGCAGGGACTTCACCTACATCATAGCATCTCTTAGCAAATCATCACACACCACGAGAAAATCATAAAACAACTCTAAAACATGATTAGCACATCCACTGGTGGGAACAAGTTGGGTAGGGGTGATTGGTTACTACAAGAGGGGGATTCATTTGGACTGATTGGTTTAAGCCACGAGGGGAGTACGTGCTAAACTACATGGTTTCCCAACATGTTATCAACCACCATAAACTACTGGGGGGTCATCTGGCATCCAGGTATTTTCCCTGTCTCATGCTGATTGGTGGCTGCTAGGGGGTTTCTATGGGTCCTCACCTAGCCTAACTTGAGTCAGGGACACCTGGGGCTGCAGATCTCTCCTGTTATTTGTAGATAAACAATTCAGCAGGGTGGGTATGTGCCTAGGAGTGCTCTGTGGGTGTTTCCAAGGACAAGAGTCACACCCCCTTCCTTGGACAGGCTTTRCTCTGAGGTAGATGCTGGTTTTTCAGTGTGAGGCATTGGGTTCTGTTCTCAGCACCACATATAAATCAATAAAATAAAGGTCTATCAACAACTGAAAAAAATATTTTAAAAAAGAACATGGTTCTTTTTAGTCAAAAATAAAAACCAGCCAGGCATGATAGTACATGCCTGTAATTCCAGTAACTCAGGAGGCTGAGGTAGGAGGATTGCAGGTTCGCAACTTTGTGAGACCCTGTCTCAAAATCAGAAATAAAAAGGGCTGGGATATAGATCAATGACAAAGTGCCCCTGGATTCAGTCTCTATATCAAAAAAGAAAAAGAAAGGAAGGAAGGAAGGAAAAGAAAAGAAAAAAKAAATGTTCGGGTGTGGTGGTCATGTCTCAGCTACCTGGGACCCAGCTGAGACTGGAGGATCTTTTGAGTCACAAGTTTGGGGCCAGCCTGGGCTACCTAGTGAGACTCTGTCTCCAAAAACAATAAAAAACAAGTGGAAACAAGTTCTATTAATCAAGGTTCAATTGAAGAAGCAGGATTACTAGAAAAAAAATACATTTACATATTTATATTACATGTACTAATATAATTTTTAGATTAATTAATTACATGTATCATGCAATGGTGTCATCATATAATATAAGTGAAAGATTGCCAGTATTCTGCACTTGAGAGAGCTGTCAAACAGCCTCTGGAAGGCTGCTTGCTTTTCTATTGAATGCCTGAGCTTGACCCTTGCAGAGCAGGAGGGGGCGATGGATGTAAAGTTGGGGAGAGTGAGGAGAACAAACTGGCAGGGGTGTCCGTGTCTGTCTGAATCCACCTCTGATGATGAGGGGGTGCTCTGGGAAAAAGCTGGTGTCCTTGATCACAGAGAGAAGCATATCCAGGAATTGGGGAACTGCAGGGGGATCCCACCACCAAAGAGGTGAGCCAACAGGTGTATGTCCACCTGAATTGACCTCCCAAGAATAAAACACTACAACTGCTGCCTCATGCCACCCCCCACATCTCAGGCAACATGCC